CGTCAAGCGCTGCCTGCCAATTACCGAGATCGGGCCTTCCTCCACTCGACTCCGACTTAAGCCTCTTCCCACCCATGATAATTAGTATCAGTATCAGTTTCGCCGTCGCAAGCTTCCTTGGGCTGTTAAAGTTCCGTTCTTGCTTCGGCGCGAAATCCTAAAGGTGAATTCTTAAATGACGACCGTAGTAACGACGACGTGGAGAAACTTCGAAAAAACTACTGAAACATTCAACAGGTGATTGACTAGCGGTGACTATTACCCGATGACGCGCCAGAAGATAGGTGGTCCGTTAGTCAATTTTTCAACTCCCGAAACTTGAACGCATCTCGCTGACGGTGTCAGGCCTTTTTTATCGTAACTTCATCCCTGACCTGCCCCAACTTTCAAAGTGCGGGTCTTGCCGACTTTTGATAAACATTATCGATTCGTATACCATTACACGCTATACTCGGGGGGCACGAGTGCTCGCGAGGAGAGCCGCAGAAAACTAAAATCGGTCTACCGGATTCCCGGGGATTCCCCGGATTGTATAACGCTTCGATCAGCAAGTTTCGAAAATTTAATACGCACAGTAGATACGTAGCCCACGTACTAGACGCGTGCTGTCGTTGCAAAAGTACAAACTTTTTTTTTTTCTTCGCATAGAATCGAAATAGAAGCCATTCCAAAAACAGTCGAGCAATTTCAAACTAGACTGGCAGATTCCAATATTCCACTCTTCCAAGTTTGCAGCGACTTTCGAATTTATTTTTACTTTCGTCCATCCCTCCTTATGCCCCCTAGCTTCCTCCGTGTTTCAGACCAAATCCCAACATAGCCAACCCTACCCTCGGACATTGTATAGGTTGACGTGTCCCTCCTGCAAGCTCATGAGCTTTTATCACGCGTCCGCGTGTCTCCCTGATCGATGATCTGGTCATGAAATCTCACCCTGATAAAACGTTTTCAACGCGATTGGCTTCCAGGCTATTTTTCACCCTTCCACCCTGCTCAGTCACCCATTGTTTTCGAGGGTGGCCCCCGCCGCCGGATCGCCACCAACGCGAAGCTCTTCGCGATACTTCGGGGATTCCCCCGTAACGTGCACACGTGGGCCAAGTGTTTTCTGTCTCTCCATACCAACTGTCACTGCAGATCGGAGACGAGTGAACTTTGCTATGTAAACATGAGGCGCGTCAAGTCACTAGGCGCCTGTTACGTAGAGAGCGCAGACTCTAGAAGGTTGGTACCCATGAGAGGAGACTCCATATGCGGATATGTGACACGGAACAATAATGGTTGACTCTCATCATCATCAGTCCTTATCGGCACCATTGAGCAAGCTGATGATCGGATTCAGCGCGAAGGTACGGCTTTCTGCTTGGAATAATTAAACGAAATGTTCACGCTGAATTTGAGGACCCGCCGTAGCCAAATTTTGATAAGGGCGTTATCAATCATCGAATAAGACGCGAACGCGGCGTTTCCCTTGTCAACAGAATGACATAACATGAATCTTCGAGTAATATCTTGGAGTGATCTCTAAATCACGAGGCGTCGGGTTAAAAATAATCAGCCGGTAGGAGAAAGTGCTGGGGGCGGGGAGGAGTTTGAAGGTGAAAGAGGATGAGTGGAGGGGCGGGAGAGGAGAGGTGATAAACGTTGGTATCCCTCTTGAATCCTCTTGAAAAATTCTGCACGTCTTTTCAGTCATGCTGACCGACCTTATCCGTTTCGCGATGTACCAGACTTTGTAGCTTTCAGATTTATAGAACAGACCTCCGAGGGATGCGAATTCGCTAGTTCTAAACTGGGTCGATCGGTCGTCAGCGGATTTTTATTATTTTTTTTTTTTTCATGGATGTTTTCCATGCGGTATCGGCAGGTTTGAATTGATGGTGGAAAAAAAATAGTTTTTTTTTTCTCCTTTATTCAGGCCACCGAGATACGTAACGTTTTGGATATTTGCCTTGTCGAGGTTCGAAATCAACTGGAGCTGTATTTATTGTGCAAAACTGATTGATCGATCGGCCGTCTATTGGGATTCGTGGCTGAGTAGGGATGAAACTGAAATTCGATAATACGCGTAATTCGATTGCGTATTTTTTGGATTTTTTTAAGACGCTCTCGGAGCCCATGCTACATTCGAAGAACGAACGCTGCGGGATCTATGGATCTAGGATTTAGGAGGTTACGAAAAAGTTTGTATCGTCGGGTATCCTCACTGAGATTATTCAGCAAATTTTTACCGTATTTGTACCGTATGGACAAATTACATCGATTTGGAGTATCTATTGATTCTCGAAATGTATTGATTGGTATTCAGAAATAACTACGGATATATATATGTTATAATATATCATATTATATTATAATATACCATATAATATAGTTAATATATCATATAATAATAATAGTTATAATATATCATATTATATTATAACATACATATGTTATAATATATCGTACATTAATTAATTGGGTAAATATTTTTTGAGCCAGATTCAGCCTCCTTTAAACCCTAAAGAACATTTTTCAATAGTCATTAGAAATTTTCAAATTTGGCTTTTGTTCATCTGGGATCAATAAATTTTTGCCTTGGTGATTAAAATTGGGAATAGAGTGAAGATTTCTTATCGATAAAAAATTGTATGTCAAAATGCGTATGTATATATGATTGAGTCTGATTGTGAGTCCGTGTGCGTAAGTAGGCGAATGTCACTTGCAATGGAAACCACGACCCTGAACTGTAAGTGGCACTTCTGCTCAGTCAGATGCCGAGAAACCGCGAGGTGATTTTGGCCAAAAAAAAATTGAAACAGTTTAAAAAATATGAAGAACATGAAATCTGAGGGAGAAGTCTTGATAACGACGGTATACGACCTCGAAAAAATGGTCGGACTGGTTTTATGTATGTTATACCTGTTCTGCGGGGAAAAAAGTCATATTTATATAATAAATGTAAACGCGACGTATTCAGGGTTACGGCACGTTTTGATTGGAAAGAACGAAAACGGAGAGAGGCGAATCTTAGAAATATGGCAAAGGACATTTATGAAAGTCATAAAAGCATTTGGACTTTTTGCATTGAAACTAAATGGCGAAATAAAAACATTAGGAACTGCACGAATGAAATGCATTAGCGTTTCGTGCAATTTTTATATAAATTTCAGCGACTATCTTGCGATTCTCGAAATTTATTTTCAATCTTGCGTGTATCCGTTTTTCTTCTATTTTTCTGTAAAATCCACTTAATCCTGCTTACGAGAGCCCGTACGATCTTCTTTGTAGATATAAAATTTATTCATTCCTCGTAAATAAAGCAGATATACGTCTTGTGAACGGAATAAAAATAATTTTCAAAAACAGCCTCCAACTGGCAGTGGACCAAAATAATGTGATTCAAGACTCAATGGAGATAGGTATCATTTTACAGCTTATTAAATGTATTACGCTTCATCGACGACAAGATCAGATTGAATTTATCGCACGGCAGGAAATCAATACACGACCTTCAAATTTCTTCATTCCCTTTTTTTTTTTCCACGCCTCGCTACGACCTCGTTATTATCAAGTTTCGAGACGCATTGAAATCCGTTGCTTCTTCACTGCCATCTTGTTAACAATATTCGAGATGTCCCGATACCGAATAATAGATGAAGGATATAGGATTCCTGAAAATCTCAAATTCACGGTGTATCGGCTCGTATAGAGTGCGCCGGAAGGGGAATAAAATAAATATAGCCGGCGGAATGAAGGAAGAGAGAAATAAAAATAAATTCACCGACTAAATATCCATCCGAGATATAACAAGGATGCAAGGCTAAAGCAAGTCCATAAATATTTTCAAGCCATTAAAAAAGTCTCATGGCTTACAGTGAAACGATTGAGCATCCTCAGCCATAGATGTAAGAAATTATACGAATTACTTCCTGACAAAGAAAAACTTTCATCTGTCTCGTTTAATGAGAGATGCTGCAAAGAAAAAATTATCAATTTCAAAACGAATCCCCTTCCATTAATTCTAAGCACGACTTAATTTCCAGCGATTCCATCGTATAAAAGGAAGAGAGTAAAAATAAATTCACCGACTAAATATCCTTCCGAGATATAACAAGGATGCAAGGCTAAAGCAAGTTCCATAAATATTTTCAAGCCATTAAAAAAGTCTCATGGCTTACAGAGAAACGATTGAGCATCCTCAGCCATAGATGTAAGAAATTATACGAATTACTTCCTGACAAGGAAAAACTTTCATCTGTCTCGTTTAATGAGAGATGCTGCAAAGAAAAAATTATCAATTTCAAAACGAATCCCCTTCCATTAATTCAAAGCACGACTTAATTTCCAACGATTCCATCGTATCTCTCATATACCAAATCTTGACTATGATTCATTATTCTTATTCTATAATTCATTAAACTTCGATGATCGAAAGAAGGGATCGACGTTAAAAGAAAAACCCATAAAAAAATCCACGCTTGACGATCACTACGACTGACAATGCATTAGGGTCGCGACTTCCGGCAAAGGCGATTTTCTATGAACGAAAAAAAAAAAAAGAGATTAAAGATCAACATTAATGGATCTTGATAACCACAAAAGACAAACATCACCTTTCAAAATTCAAATCAACGCACAATTTGCTCTATACAGTTTGAACGACGATTATCATTGTACCCAACATCATCAATAAAAGATATCAATAATTTATCAAGGTATGCGTGACTTAGCCAAATATAGCACGGAAAGTGTGCCTGTAGACTATAGCTATATACACAAGTACTGTTAAGCTGCACGAAGAGCAAGTAAACAAAGGAAGATTATGAATGAATCTTGCAAGCATCTTTTATTCATGCTTGGACATCCTCAGATACATTAAAAGTCTTCGAGTTGATATATTAAAGGTGATCAACGAGTGATTCGCTTCGCTCTCCATAAAACTTAATGATACCTGTAGCACAGAAAGGTATGAACCAGTATCGAGCAACAGGAGGAAAAGAAAGGAAAAGTCTTACCTGAGGAATGCTAAGGACGAACGAAAGAATCCACATGAACAGCACAAGCCGATTGCATCTCTGTGCGGTGTTGAGACTCTTCATTGGATAGCGAACAGCGACAAATCGGTCGACGCCGATCAGGACGAGGATGAAGGTGCTGAGGTAGAGGCTCCAGACCTGAAGGAACTTGAAGAGCTTGCAGGCAACGTTTCCCCAGAGCCAGGCGACGCTGTAGCTCCAGAGCGCTTCGCCTCCGATGCAAAATATGGTCACGAGGAGATCGGCGATCGACAGGTGCAAAATCAATGTGTAAATTGCCGAGCAGCTCTGTCGCTTCCGACGGTTCCTCCTTATCGAGTAGATCGTCGCGGCGTTTGCTATCAGGCTCAGCGACGCCATCGCCGCCAGTATCATTGACTTTATGTAGGAACTTCTGGTGAGTTGGGGCGCGTGCTCTAGGCAGCTCAAGTTCAAGAATGAATTTAGGACTCCTGAATCCGTTAGATTTTCCCATTGGCCCTCGTTGAGCGGACTGTCGCAGTCTGGCAGCATCTCCAATGACTTGTTTGGATTCTGGTCGCCGTTCATCAAGTGAGACGGTATCAGCTTCATTGCTTCGAAGTTCAGTCTCTCTTGGGGTCTGCTCATTTTATCATTTCGTTATCTTTTGCCATTTCTTCTTTAATTCGTTTACTCGATGCTTGCTTCTTCGTCGCTCGAGAAACGCTGATTCGTTTCACGTTGAAGAACGACTTTTCCTCGGCGGCGGCCATGCCGCTCTGTGGGATCTGCTCGTCCAGGTATCGTTTTGTTCCTGCACCTCGGGGACACCAGATAACCCAGCTGGATGCTGTGCTGCAATAAAAAAAGATACATTAGTGTATCGGTGGATTCGTGACAGGATGATCAAAGAGAAATGCCGCCTTGCCAGAGGAAAATACCATATGTGAACCTGGCACCAGAGTCAACAATATTTTTGTTTTCGACTTTTTAACTCTTTGTATCACTTTGATTTTCATTTGTACCTCCTAAGAGTTCGGAATTGGAGGGGAGACAAATACCCGCTAGCAACTGCTGGCTAGAGTGAATTAAATTCTGTTCGCAGAGATGTATTTGGAACCGATTGTACCACTCTTCATTTCGTTTGAATCTCAAGGGGTACGGAGATGCAGGATTTAGAAAATTCGATAAGAGGGTTCAACTCGGTCATTTTTGAAAATATTTTCAAGTCGGCTGCCAGGTTCACATAGGCCGGTAAAAGAGCTGTTTTTAGGTTCAGCGATTTTTGTCGTGTCCACTGGTTTTATGATTTAAGTATATTTGAGCGTGCGTTGTTACATTACAGCGACTTATGTAGATTTTCTAAAATAATTATACAAAATTCAGAGTCTGCTGTCACGTTTGGCTAGACTCAATTTTCTTTCTTTATTATTATTTTTACAAGCTGGCCTTACGTTTGTACGTATTTTGCGTGTCAAAATCTCTTTGCGCGCCTTGTCTAGGAATTATAAATTTTAATTTATCCAGCTTGCTGGCCGTTTCCTCCATTGTTTTTACAATGGCGTCTGAACTCTTTCGGTCAGTGGGTATCGAGATGTAGAACCAGATACATAGATTTTCATGAGACGATTAGAAAATCGAATACGGCTGAATTTTATCGACAAGGATTTACTCTTTTTTCTATTTCGTCGTTTCACGTGATATTGTGCAATTCTCTACCGGTGAATAATTTTACCGTCTCTCTTAACGCCTCTGAGACTCGGAGCTGTAATAAGGATATTAGGATTATTATCTCCTTTTCTTTTTATTTTCACCTTAATGACTAGAATCAAGATTATCAAGAAAATACGAGGCGGAATTTCATAAATCATTGTAAATTTATGTGGTGTGATAATCTCGCGAGATTTATGATTTCATGATGTAAAGTGACTCGCGCGTTATTTTTATATGCCTTTAAAGCCGTTTTATTCGGTTTACCAGTCAAATCTCATGTCGTCCGTCATTGCTGTCACGGGATGAGTTGATAATACAAGGGGTGATTTTACAGGATCATTTTCAAACAGTCAACTGTCACAGTGTTTCGTAGATGACGTATTTGGAGGTTTTCAAGAATTTTTTAATTTTTCAGAATTATGTCGATTTTACGTATCGGTATCGTAAGTCATGAATTTAACTCGCTGAAATATCAAAAGTCAAGTTTCGATATTTTATTGGGACCTTCGAAAGTATTGTTTGTCCGTGAAAAAAAAAATAAAGAATCCTACGTTTTATCCCGTGCGATCCTTAATCGGAGTTAATTTTGACACTGTGAATTCATTTATTATTATCAATTATATTTATCCGACGTGTTTCGACTGAACGAGTCACGTGAAAACGTGACGATGATGTTTAGCGACTCGATGTCCAACAACCATTCAATTGGCATGTGACACACATATAGCATATTGGTAATTTAAAACGAACCAGTTCGTTATGGGACCAATGAAAATCAACCGCGGAGACATCTTTTAAAGGCAGATTTAGAAGAAACTACAAAAAGAAGTGGATTAGTAACAATCTGCACGAAAAGACAAAAAATACGGTAATTAAAAAATCTCGTTAAAATCAAATACAAAGAATGATAAACAGGTATAATTACAGGTCCAATCACAATAATGTAAACGTCTTTTGTTCCGCCGAAACTAGAAAAATATAAAAGACAATATAAAAACTGTCTCTGTTGTCACTTTTATTTTTCGTTTCTCTCCCGTCTCAAGTGTACAAATCATGGTCAAATTCCAGCGTGATTCGGAAACTGGTAAATCCAGTAGTTTTTACACGATACTAAGAATTAAATATCTGCGTCACTGCGACAATCTTCGTTTATTATGATAAAAATTTCGCGTGACCGCTGATGATAAATAATAATACAAAATTCTATGACACACTGTATAACAAGGAACTTTGAAAAGACATTGTTCTCATTGAATTTACTTACATTGGCTTTATTGTGCAAGAACAGATGTACGAGAGGACAGTGTAGGCACTTTAATTTAATCTCAAAGCTACGGGAAACCGTTTAATGAATGAGGATCACTTTTGATGAGCATGATATCGATTGGTTATATTGATGATCAGCCTTTCGATTTCCAATGAAACAAATAAATTTATCCTATCGATTCAGTCACATAAAAGCAACGAAATTCCTGACGAGTCGTTTCTCTTTGAATTTGAAAATTAACTTAAGCAGTATGATTTAGGTTATTTCTAACTGTATCGGTTAAATGGCTGTTTTATTATCTTTTAAATATCCCTCTTGATCCTGCTAGGGGATTTTATATTAAACTTTGATAGATTGATGTATCCGAAGTACGTACCCGAGTTTTAATATCCAACAGCAACAAGTGGTTGATATCTTGAACTCAGTAATACCATGGTAGATGCTTTGAAACGGATTTCGATCGAAAGTTTATTGCATTTTTTTTTCACTTGCAGTTTCAGCCACAAAGAAACGTTATTCAAAGTTAGAAATGTCAACGAGTCGCTTCAATTTCCTATTCAGAATTGGATTTTCACAATTTTCACTTTGCCGGACGTTTCGCAGACAAGAAACTCGCGGTTGCGTCGGGCATTCACGTAATTCGATCATCTCAGAAGATTTCCACAAAACAATTTGACACTAAAGTAAAACAGCCCACTGGCCAAAACATAAACCAGAAATAAAATCGATTATAGACGAACGAAGCACACGCGAGCATTAATCACTTGGGTAAAAACTTTTCGTTCGACCCGACACTGAAAGCGTTACTTTTTTTTTCAAACCCTCAACATCACTCGGTTCACAACTAAAGAAATCCTTATGAATCCATCACTATATCCTTATCTCGTGAATTACTTAATTAAAACAGAGAAGAAACGTATTCGTTTCACGACCTAGTTATTCTCACGGACAGCAATTACGCGTTCCAGCATCGCGACACTACCAAACCATAATTGCATCGCTGAACGCAGCAAAAGAAACGTTACTACCGGCTAAAAGCGTCACCTTTAAGTGAACCGCGCACGTTAAGACGTCGCGACGTTCTGAGTAGCGGCGTGCAGAATGAACTTGGCTCGTCCACAACCCCCACTACGCATACACACCGGACTACGTGTCAGGAAGGTTCCTCTAGCCGACTGACAATTGACGGTTTCCAGTTATCCAGCTAATGTCGACTCGTGTCAACACAAAGGCTCAATATTGGCTGGCTCCAACGGAACATTTGCGAAACGACCAATGACATAACTCCATGCCGACTTAAGTCTACAGAAGCGTGTAATTGATAACCGCTGAATGAGAACTAGCCTACAGTTTTTCAGGATAGCTGCTATTATATGTATACAGATATACCCTGAGCGACATTAATGGCATCCCAGAGGAAAGTTAGCGGCAAATAACAGCAGGAGGGTCAGATAGGAAGTGCATTTTCCCTTGGCTCGGGACGTCATTTCTGTTACGAGTCGGAGGAGTCCCGTATAAGAGCGTCTCTCTCGCTCCCAGCGACGGTTTCCTATAAGACCCTCTCACTCGTTTTTTATGGTGGCGCGGCAAAGCCCTGTAGCGCGTATAAGAGCGTCTCTCTCGCACCCTCGCACTCTGCACATAAGAGCGTCTCGCTTTAATTCGTGGCTTGTATAGGCGCATCGTCCTTGCCGTCGGCTGAGGTATTGGTGGGAGCGAGACACTCTTATACGCGGTTACCGTGCGATATATCAGTACCTGGATGCGTTAGTAACAAACATTTCGCGCAAAGTCACGCGTGACACTGTTCTCGATCTCTCGAAACAGCACCGAACACGTAACAGACTAAAGTCCTAAAATTTATTGCCCAATAGCCTAATTCGCGCCCTCATGCTTGACTCTGTAACCTGTAATTCCCACGAGCGACTCGTTTTGCTCATTGACTGCTCACTGATTATCAATGACTGTGAAAATTATTATGCGCGAACTTTCAGCCTCTCTGTTCCTGGTTACTCGAATTAACGACTCACGATTTCCTTCTGCGTAGTCGTTGGTATGCGACCGACGAGACGGTCGGAGAAATTTTAAATTACAGTCGAATCACTTCTTCAATGAAGTACTAGCGATAACGAATCTCTAACGTTTGCACGGAATTCAACAAATAGGACGAAGGGCAGAGAGAAGGAGAAATACGTTTCGAATCTTCGATGCTGATTGACTCCTCGACCGAGTATGAGGATGCTTGTCAGATTCGCCGAATTACTTGCTGGAATCGAATCTGACAGATTTATTTTTCATGGCTGCACAAAATCATTCGATTATTCACATCCCTCCTGGGATACACTGTATTGGTTATGTGAATTGCGTTGTTGGATCTCTATGGTCCAAGTTTAGCGATCGACTACCGAGTGGTGATTTTTTTCTATTTCAATGTCAAAGGGATTTTTATCACTGAACCGAGTTTATCTTTTTCAATACTTTACACAGACGTTCAGATCAGATTCTTATTAGGCGATACCGGAAGTCCTTGATCAACTGTAATTACTTGTTCGTTAACAAGGAGCATACTGGATTTCTACGACCCACGCGAAATTCCCGGACGGTTTCACGTTACTTGCCGCATTGCTACAAGACTGGCGCGTCCAGCGAATGGAAGCCGAAGATAATTTTCTATAGAAAATTTATGAGGGTACAGTCAAAGTGGATTTATTTTTTAGAGGTTAGGGCTCCTGTTATGAATTGTTAGATCAATACTGAGGGCACTCGTTGTTGGTAGTAGCTACCACGTAACGCGTGTGAGATAAATTAGCCTTGTGTAAAGGAATTCTGAAGAATCACCGCGAAAACAACGATTCAGTTCATTGTACTTGAAATGCAGGCAATCGTTTTGCAAAAATTTATTAGTGACTCTCAACGAATTTTCATAGGCTCATACCATTTAATTATACTTGCTGATATTATAGGAAAAATATTTCACATGGTAATTTGCCTTCACGTATCTTTGGATTGTTAATAAATTCTTGTTAATTCACAACCTGAACATTTCATGCCAAGTCGAAATACTCAGAATGGCAAATTGCAGTTACTGAATTAGAAAATAATAAATAATTTCGAGCTGGTGAATTTAACGTATCTTATTGCATGTCAAAATTTATAAATGCATTGCTCGCGCATTATAAATGCATAATGTACCACGTGTGTTGTGCTCGACGATAAATGTAATGAAGAGTTAAGGCAACTGATACAGCAAGATGTGTTTTTGAATCTTGAAGAGTCAGTTTGCTCGTTTTCGTAACTTTTTTGCAAATTTTAACACAAGAAGATCTCATTTCGAGAGTCTACCACGGGGACGCGGTACAGACAGGGTATTAATGGAATTGTATTATCTGCCAAAGGTCGACTCGTCTGAATGCCTGAATTGATGCAATTTTCTTCAAATATTATTTTATCCAATGTTTTTTTCTTTCATTTGTCATTTTGTGCAGCCGTCGGGTTACTAATGGCTGAGTATTTGTGGTGGCGCCTGTGGCTTCTTGTAAAACGTGATCCAGTCACGTGGAGGCGTCCTTCTCGATTGAATTTTTAAAAGGGGTATTCCCCGAACGAAATACTATTAGCCAACCGGAATACGAAGACCTGTGGTCACGCTTAACGAAATTAGGTGCCAAATTCGAAACACGTAGACAATTTGCGCAACTAATGTAAGTACGTTATTCTTGCCAGTCACACATCAATTTGTCTCTACGCATTGAGAATGCTAAATCGACTGCTTTAACTGTTGACAACGTGATTACAGAAAAGAGAATCTGTGGACCTTTGAATTCATATGAAACAGAGAAATATTATTTTTTTTAAAATATTATAATATACAAAATTTTTATTCGAATTGGAAGGCGACTAGTGTTCAGTCCAAATGTACATTAGGTGTTCGTAGTGCATGCACGTGGCGACCGAGGAAAATATAAAAATTCCTGGAAGGCCCCAAGCCACTCTAGGGGATTAGGAACCTCGGTCGAGGCTTGGGCCGATTTGTTTTGACTGCGAGTGAAAAGGGGGAGGTCAATGCAGGGGGTAAAGACAAAGCGAAGTTATTGCGTAATCGACTGACATTTTTCCATTATCTTTGTATCGTTTGAATTCCTCGAGAAAAATATTTCTTGTTAATATTGAGAAAAAAGAAGAGTCGCTATTAAAAAATTTTTCTACAGGGTTCTCCAGCTTTCTAAAGACGTCCGTTCATTTGTCACTTTACGATATTTTATTCGTGGCGCGACAATAGATATCGCTATACGTCTCTTAAGAATTTTTATTTTGAAAGAGGAAAGACACAATATCGCTCCACGTGGTCTTTTTTTTTGACATTTCCTTGCCAGTATCCGTAATAGAGGGAAATATAGTCAGGCTGTTCTCCTCGTACGCTACACCGTATATCTTTGTTCCTGATGGCATTTGACGGTACCAATTCAAAATGATGGGGTTCATGCTGCGAATCGTAGGAGCTTTCGAAAATATTGTTTTTCAAGAATTTTGCAGAGTGATAAATCTCCAGCCATTTCCTTTGAAAAGATACGGTAATCGACTATCAGCGTATTCACTCTTTGGTGATACAGGAGTTGGACGATTTTTCATTTTCTTTTTCTTCCTCTTCTGTACTTTCATCCGAACCTTGAACATCTTTTTGCAATACGAACTTTTGATCGATCGTCCAATTTTTGGTATGACGTAAGATTAGGACACGTGGAATAATTTGATGATATTTTTTTTATCATAGAAAGGCTGTAGTTTACAATTGAAAATGGATAAGACAAATTCGTTTGGTTTGTTATCAGTGGTACTCGACCTTTTACTTTAATAGGTAATACCATCATGAACATCAGTGGTAAAGTCGACTGATAAAAGTTTGACTGTAAGATATTTATGTTCCGTATCTTAGCCACGTTCACTTGTAGACATTCGGCTGAAAGGATTTCAAGCTGAAAATCTCAACGCGAATTCTTTAAAGCATCAAACCCCATCAAATCCTTATGAAACGACGATCGCAAACTCTTTAGCTTTTATGTACTCGGGTTATCTGGCTTTATCGGTTTCTATGAATACCACTGACTCCATTTTATCTTGACTGTATAAATGCAAATGCGAGTCGAGCTTGCAGCATGAAATGCGATAAGGGACGTCTATGACGCATTTCCAGTGGGATATGTATTCTTAAAGCCGATGAATTTATTGGAATAAAATAATCCCCGTGATTCGGCGTTATTTTGACAATTGAAATTATAAATATTGCCTTCCGTACGGTATATACAATTTTTAGTTGAATCATCAATGACCCAGGTGATTTCTCTTTGTCGTAAAATAAAAGAATCAAGTAAGGACTATTTGGAAAAATAAAAAAGATTTTTTTCGCTTCTGATACACCTGATTACATAAAAACGTCGTTTGCTGTAATTTAAACTTCTTTCCGTCATCTCAGAATTTGGCATCAATGCTAATTCCCACATTTTTGGATACTTTCTAAAATTCCATTAACAGTCGAATAACCCAAAAATTCGATTAAATTATAGAAAACGTCTATACCAACCCAAATCAAAGTCACAGCCTTTCCATCGCTTCTATTTCAAATCGGACAACTTCCATGACCGTTACTGAATAAACGTGCTTATACAGAGGACAATTAATTGTACAACCACCAGTCGCCTCATCGGATTACGCGTGAAAAGTATCAGCATCAAGTTCAGAATTAACCTCAATTCGACCCACGTACCGCATGAGATTAACAAGCTCAAATTCGTTGGAGTTAAACTAAAGGGTTCAGAATTCCCTTTTGGTTTGAATGTTAAGCTCTTTGCCATATCAGCAGGCCCTTAACCTATTTCATCAAGCCATGAAATACTTTCCCATTAATGTTATACCCGAGAGCTAATTAATATAAGTTACAGGGTTGTAACATTCAACCCCCATGATATCCGAGAGATCGGCAAAAAAGACGGATTGACCGAATTTTCTTCTGGAATTTAAAAAAGTAACAGCCAATAGGATTTCTTTTATTCCTCCGCGTGTCCAATCCACGGCTACGATTCGAAGAATGGAAGGAAAGTAAATAATCATCTCCTTTAAGAGCCAGTATCTATCTTT